ATGTATTGCACATATGTTACTATTTTATAAATTACTTAATAAAGATACAAGCAAGACTTCACCTTAAAAAAAAAAAATAAAATAAAATAAATTCAATAACTTTTTATTAATTGACTTTTAATTTTTACTTTCGACGAATATAAATTTTAAAAAAATTTTAAAAATTTCATCAAATATAATATACAAAACTATATTAATAAAAGGTTATTTAATTTAAATGAAACTTACAAAATATATGTATTTTGATCTTTTGAACTATTTTCACTTAATATGATAGATCGATTTACATAGTAAAATTTGACTTTACTATAGAATAACTACTGACAATTATATTAATAGCTTCTTTTTAAATCTAAGAAATTTTTGTTTTTTTTTAAAAAAAAGAAAATATCTTATTTTAAAGGTAGATTATTTTGACAATATATAATATATATAATTAATTAAACTTGAACATGTTCATGAACTTGAACTGAACTTGAACTAAATCAAAACTTTGAGTTTAATTTCAGTTCAAGTTTATAAATTTAAAGTTTAGTTCAGATTTAGGTTCAAAAATTTGCAAAATTTACAAGTTCAGTTCAGGTTTAATTGAACTTGAACCTGAACCTAAATTGAACTGAACTGAACTTCAGAACACTATTGGCACATCCATTTTAATTGCATTTTTTTTTACTATATGATATATTTTATTATGTACTCTTCTATTCTGAATATTATATATTAATTTAATTTTTGGGATTTGTTAAAGTTGATGGTGATTTGATTTAAATATTGTATATATGTATATGCAAGAAAAATAAATATGAGTGGTGTTTATAACTACTACAGTTACATATTCTAATATTTTTGTGACCAAGTTATGTATTGAGAAAGGTGCATTTGAATATGCATCTCTGTTCAATGTTTTGACTTCAAATAACTTTCTGTTAATATTCAAATAAATATACTTTAATTCTTAATTCAACTTTAACATATCTATCATAGAATTCACTCAAAAAACTCCATTAAATTGTTTTATTCTTAAAACATTTATAATATTTATTATTACAAAGTTATTATTTCATTTTATACTGTTACTAGAGAATATATTCTGTTGGTTTAAAAAGGTCATATATTAGACATTTTCAAAGAACATTGCTATTAAATGTTATGAAAATGCAGAAAAAAAAGTAAACAATTTTAAAACTAAATAGGTACATTAATAATTAGATAAATATCATATTAAGTTTATTAAGCCAATAATTTATTATAAGCCTCAGGCAACCAGATTTTATAATTAATTCTTCACTATTTGTTAAGTTGAAGTTTCAGACAACAAAGCTTTGTTATTACTATTTATATTGATTAAGTTTTGGGCAACTGAACTTTATTATTTCCACTCATTGAATTAAAGTTTCAGGCAACCAGATATTATATTATTATTTCTTCTTCTTATAAAATATTATTAAAGTTTCGGGCAACTAGACTTAATAGTTATTATACTCATTTTTATTCTTTTTTCTTACTATATATTCCAAATGAATAATTAATTTAAAATCTTTGATCAATAGAACTTTCTACTTTATTTTATTTATTTATTTTAAATAAAACTATATGCAATGAGATAGAAATTTTTATTAAAATTTAAAATAATTATTATAAAGAACTGTTTCTGTTTATATTTTATCTTAGGCAGAAAGTAAACACTTTTGTTTCTGGTATCTGGTTGAGAAATAGAACCTCAAAAAGATAGCAAAAGATAAATTTGCTTCATTACTATATTATCTAATTAATGTAAGAAAAAGAATTCAAGAATCAGAGAATTATTTACAATTTGTGAAGCATGTCAAGGTATTAAATTTTTAAGTATTTGGAATTTTTTTAACATTCATTCACTTAACTACAATATATTAGATCAGTTTAAAACCAAATAATGAGCTTAATAAATTCATTGAAGCAATTATAAGTTCTGATTTGGAGCAGTTGTTCAAAAATAAGCTGCTCCGACATTGGAACATCAATACTGATACTATCTTACCTATTGTGTTAGATCATTTTTCATCTGAGTTCAATCAACTTTGTATAATTAATGATAAATATAGATTTATTCTTCCTGATAATGCTAAAATTTGATTTGAACTAAGTTGGGAGTCTCTTATGAATGATTTAACATCACTGAATTTAGACAAACTAAAGTATAACAAAGAAGATGAAATATTTTTTTTACAAATATTATATAGTATGTGAGTATTTAATTTTGGATGTTTTTATTAGATGCAATTCTGATAAAAGATTTATTTTAGTCGAAATATATTCTTGAAATACAAAAACATCACCATAATGGAAATATCTGAGGAAACTTTGTTGACAGATACAATTCATCAATTTTTAGAATCTGCTATGTGTGATATTTCTGGGCTGTCTGTTTACTTGTAAGCTAGAAAAATTAATTTAGCATATAATAAAGAATTTTTGGCCATCTAACACTAATACTTTCACATTTTAGCACATGTGCTACTTTTTTAAGGCACCTTAGAATAAAGAAATCATAAACTAAACAGAACTGTTAAATTAAAACTTGAAAACAATCAGTTCAAAATTCTATACGTAGAAGGTGCAAACCCAGAATTGAAAAGAAAAAAGTGTCAAGAAGATGCAGAAAAACTCCAGCAGCTTATAAAACTAAATCTTGATCAACTTCTAAGAAACCTTCAGCATACATATAGAAATAAAATAAATAAAGACATTGCAAAAAAAATTTATAATAATTACCTTATTACAATTCAATCTACTTGTAGATATTATTTTTTAAGTTTATTCTTCAATTAATTTTTTATAATTTAGAATTTTACTTATCAAAATAAATATTTTTAGAAACATCATTAATTTTGACAATTAGTAACAGGAAAGCTCACCCATTGATATGCACTACCACTTTCCATAATATTAAAATACCATTTCCAACTAAATATCACATTCTACAACTGTCAAGAGAATTGAAATTAATTTCAATAATGTGGGAAATTCGAAATGTGTTAAAAATTATTTCTAATAATTGGAGAAACATTTTAGACAGCATGAAAGAAATAACAATAATACCAGTAGAACAATGAGTAAAAATTAATGAAAATATTCCTCAATTTAGAAACTTTATTCTTGGACAATATCAACCAATACAATACTCTTATAATTAAATAAACAAATTTTATTTTTTAAATTTATTAGATGTTTTATTAATATATCTCAATAAAATTGAAAAATAACTATTACAGTATTTAGTGTTAATTATATTATACAGTATAATTATATAATTAAAATTGTTGTATTACTATCTTGTTACATGATATGGTTGTACAAGATGTTGAATTATATTTTATTTTTGAAATAGATTTTAAATGATACAGTATAACCTCGATATAACAAAACTCTGAAACTGAAAGTTTTGCTTTATTATATCAAAACTTATTAATAGTTTCATTATATCAGAGCTAATTTAAACATAAAAATTAGAAATAATCTTTGTTATCGTTATATCGAGGTTCATTATATTGAGGTTATACTGTATATTGTTTTGTCTGAATAAATACAGCAGAGTAATTGGTGCAATGTTTCTCATGTCTTTCAAACATATTTCACAAGTTACATCATTAAATGATCTTTGTTATGCAACTAATTGTGGTTACAATAACTGAATTATAGTTTTTCATTCAATTTCTTAGGAATTATTTTGAAATGATGAGTGGGGAGCATATAGCTGGCCAACAATTATATGGCGAGTAATGGCGAAACCAAAGCAAGAAAAACTTTATAGCTACAGTAGTCATTTTATATCTCTAAATAATTACAAATTCATTAATATATAGTTTTTATTACAATTTAGTAAATTTTCTATTACTGCATAATTTTTTTATTTTTTATTTTTTTACAACTAACAATATTACTTTTAACTAATATAACAGAATTCCATGATCTCACAATAATGCTGGCTATATCACTTCATTGACTAGCCATTCAAATAAAAAAGATTGAATTCTTATTAGGGTAATTAATTTTTGTGAGAGATCTACAACTACTATGTATCAACATTATAAATAGCCACAAATTTTACAAATCAATAGTGAATATTTAGTGAGTAATCTATAAGAAACTCAAGGTTTTTGTATAAACTTTTATCCTTAACACTATACACTTATTATAGAAGACGAATACTATTCCATCTGTGATTGCAAGACTATTATTTTTTCCATACTATGATTTGAGCAAAATTGATAAAAACCTGGTTATAGATAATTCACATAAAAATGAACATCAAGCTGTTTTCTTCAAGACCAGATTAGAAAGTAAATCAAGTATGAAAAACAGCAACAGTATTAAAAATGACAATATTCACAAATGCCAAGAATAATTGAATTGTTGATATTCTTATATTTTATAAACATTAATATTTTATTTCTCATTCAATATTTTATGATGTATTATATAATATTCCAGTAATACTATATCGCATATTAATTATTCTATAGAATTGAGCAAAATTGATGACAACCAACATATGATAGTTATAGAAGATTTGTGTAAAGATGAACATCAAGCTGTTTTCTTCAAAACCAGGATAGAAAGTAAATTAAGTAATGATAATATAAAGATAAACATTAAAGACAAAATATTTATTTAACATACTGATCAAATATATAAAGCAGATATACACATTAAATACAATGATTTTTTACTAATTATTCATTTACATGATGAATTACATTTATTTATAATAATCTTTTGAGTACTCTTAATTATGAAAAATGATGATAGTATTAAAAATGACAATATTCACGAACATCAAGAATGCTTGAATTGCCAATATTTTTTATCTTTTTTATATTTTATAAACATTAATATTTTATTTTTCATTCAATATTTTATAACTTATTACATATTTTAGTATTATAATACTATATTATATATTAATTATTCTATAGAATAGATATTGCTATAATTAATAAATATAATTTTCAAAACTTGTGTTCAGATGTTTTTCTGGAAATTGTTAATCTACAAAAATAACCATAATTCTTGAACTACTAAACAGAATTTGATAAAACTATCACCATTCGAATCAGCTCACTGAGACAGTTTTAATAAGGTATAGATCATCTATTTCTGATCACAGGATCACAAAATCGAATCCAATAACCAAATAAATAAGAAAGATGTGATCTAATTGGTTGAATGATAACTGTGTGAAATATCATACATATAACATATATAACATTTATGCATTTTGGAGCATCTATATTTTATATTATATTTAGTTTATTTATTTTATTTATTTTATATATCAAACTTATTTTATTTATTTTATTAATAGTAGTTATAAAACATCTTATACATATAAAAGATATAGGCTGTTACATTTACTATATAGCCAAAAAGTATAAAAGTGGCAGATGTGGACCCCAGGTTCAACATCGAGTCTTCATACTCTTTTACTAATAAACTACTAGTTTATACTACCAAAATTAAACAGTTATTAGTATTCTCATATACTTTTAATTGTAGCCTCTTTGTAATTGCAAATTGCTTTAAATCTTCTTTGTTAAGTTTTCTAAAATAAAACACCTTTCGACTTAGTTATAACACAGTAACAAGAAAGGTTACAAAAAGTGTTCACTGTCTAAGGTTACTCTAGTTACCTACTATCTTAAAAGAATCATTATTCTTTATTCAATACATTATTATAAAAGAGTCATATTAAACTAGTAACTCAAATCAATTATAGTGCCAATTTTTCTAAACATCACCTATTAAAATAAATAATCTCACCATATTAGAATGTTTAAAATTATATACAGTAAAATATGCATGTTTTAAAATAAACTTGCATATTGTTTCTGCATGCGAACTTTGTATTGTTTCTGCATGAATTTAGTTTATTTATAACTATTAAAATGGTTTTAATTTACAATTAGAATGTTCAAGAGTAAAAAAATCATAAAACAATATCAACACTATCTAATTCTTATATATTGTAAGTACTTATGAGCATAAAATTGATTCTTATTTAAAATGGCATAGCAATACATATCAATATTGTTGTGTTCAGAAAACAGCAACTTGGTTGCTCTACAATCTGAATTTTATATAATGTACAATAAGTAACCTTTTTGAAAGAGGATATTAGATTTGGTTGATAGGTGATTAAGGCTTTCAGTTACTTTGGATCAATGAATACAAGTTAGGTAAGTCATGTGGTCAAGGATTTAAATGAACGACAATGTTATAGGAGTTTACAGAGTTTATAGCAATAACAATGTTAGAGTTTATTATTTACAATCTAATGTATTTAGGACTTGTTATTTAATAAAGCAAATGAAGCGTACTGCTCTATAGGGCCATTTCAGCCTTTATTTATAATATCTTTTTCTTATAATCTATTTAATTACATTAATTACATTTTTCTATTTAATTTAATTCCTCTAACTTATCAAATTAAACTATTTTACTTAGAGGGACCAATTCTGTAACTCTCTTCATAGATCATTTGTACCAAATTTTTTCTAAAACCATTTAATTATTTCTCAATATTTTATTAAGTAAACTTTACTTGTACTTCTAAGTAAAGTTACTTAGCTCACTTTTTCCTTCTATATGGCCAAGTTTTATGCTCCTACAATACTTGGCCACTGAGAAAGGTTTCAAAAACCAAAAATTTGGTTTTTGCTTGTTTACTATATATTTTACTAATTAAATATACCTTATTACCTATTAGAAAAAGAACAAGCTCTCTGTTCCGGTCATTTTGATATATAATTTATTATAAACAAACTAAAACTCACAAAGATACAAACAAAAAGATGAAATCTAAAACCTGTCTTTACAAGTTTTTTCATTGGCATTTTAGGAAAAACTGCTGGGTTGCCCCCGATTTTTTACTTTTCTGGCACCCATTAAAATTTCCTAAACATCCAATTAGCCTTTACAAATATATTACACTTCACAGATCACTTCTAAATAGTCTAGAAGTTTAGATAATTAAGAAATTTTTCTTATAAACAACATTACACAAATAATTCGTACTATTTAAATTTTATAAATATTATCCTTAAAGATAGTTACATATAATGCCAAGCATTAAT